GATCCTTAGATCTCAGCCTCCTAAGTAGCTAGGATTTCAGAAATGAGCCATCGATGCCTTGTATGCATGATGCACTTTTAAGAATCATGGCTAACGCATGTGCATGGGACTTTGCAGGTAAGTCTTTCCCCCTATTTTAGTCTCAGGTTCTATATTTGTGAAGTAGAATTATGGGACTGGATGATTGCCAAGTACCCTCCTTTTGCAGAATTAGCTCTTCAGTTCAAATGTTAATTCTATACTGCTGCTGTGATTGAGTTTTTAGTCAGGGCTATGAACTTTCTATAAAAAAAGTTTTTAGTATATTTATTTTTGTCTGTCCTGGGGCTTGAACTCTGGGCCTGGGCGTTGTCCCTCAGCAATTCAGCTCAGGGATAGCGCTGTAGCTGTACCACTTGAGCCACAGCACCACTTCTGTTTTCCTGAGTGGTTTATTGGAGAAAAGAGTCTTATAGACTTTCCTCCTCCGGCTGGCTTTGGCTTTGAATCGCAATTTTCAAATCTCAGCCTTCTGAGTAGCTAGGATTACAGGCATGAGCTACCAGCGCCCAGCTTTAGTATCTTTAAGTAGTTTTATAAAGGGGTTGCCATTCAACAAAGCAGTTTATGAATGTAGTGCATCTTTATCAATATTGTTCTTTTCAACATTCTTGCTTACCTCTCCATCCCATCCCTTCTCTCACCTTTCTTAGTTTTCAGGTTATATATTGAATTTTTTTGGCCATTTAACATAACAATGTATGTATACAGCACATCTTCACTTCCTGTTGATACATCCCTTCCCTTATTTTTCTCAATTCCGTGGTATTTATGACGAATTCTTGCCTTTATTCTTCCAACTTTCCCCCTTTCATTTTTCTACCTTTTCCCCTATGGCTGTACCCTCCCCTCTTGCAGATACCCATTTCCTGGTACTTGTTTTGTTGGGCTTTGATTTAGTCTTCCTAAAGAATTATACTACTTGGTGGGACAAAGGATGAACCAATGTAACAGTGAGAGTCACTAGACCCTATATTGGAAATGAACTTTATAACTTTGGAGGAGGAGAGTCGGGGGGGGGGGGCGGTGGGGAATGGAGAAAATGAGGGAGAGGGTAACACTGTTCAAAAAGAAATATACTCATTACCTTAGTTATGTAACTTTAACCCCTTTATACATCACCTTTATAATAAAATAATTTAAAAAGAGAATTATACTATTAGAACTCTCCTTAGAGCTTTTAACCCCACTTAACTGGGATGATAGGTTGAAAACCCTTAAGATTTATTAGAAGCAGAGCAGAACTATAGGTTATTGTGTTGCTAAATGGATGCAATATCTAACCCAATGCCTATGGATGTTTGCTTGATCAATGGATTTTTTGTTTTTTGGTCCTGGGGCTTGAACTCAGGGCTGGGTTCTGTCTCTAAGATTTTTGGCTCCAAGCTAGTACTCTACCACTTGAGCCACAGCTTCACTTCCAGCTTTTTTTGTTAATTAATTGGAGATAGAGTCTCACGGACTTTCCTGCCCAGACTGGCTTTGAATCATGATCTTCAGATCTTAGCTTCCTGAGTAGCTAGGATTATAGGCATGTGGCCCAATGTCAGAAATTTAAAACCCAGTATCAGGTTACATTTCTTCCCAGTTAAATGAATATACATATGGCAAAGTGCTATGCAGGCCATTCTGTCTGTATGTTTTGAAATATACTACCATAGCTGCTCATCAGAAGACTGGGTCATGGGCTGAAAGAGTTGCTAGCTCCGTCTGTGGTCTTAGAAAGTAATTTCCTCTCTTTTGGAAACAACTTATTCTTGTTTAAAATATAGTAGTTCATACTAGATCGGTATTTTTTAAAGTGTGTTCTTTCAATACATTAGATATTTTGTTGTTTTTAGAGAAAAATCTTTCTACTCTATTATTTCTCCTTGGAGATTGATACTCCAAGTATCTTGATAGTAAATTTAATTAAAAAATTTTACCTTTTAACTCATGCTTTTGCCATATTCCTGTGTGATCACAGATGGGTCCTCAATCTGAAACTGTTTCCTCCTCCTGTCAACTAGAGTTAATACAGGGGTCACGACATTTTTTTTCACAAAAATCTAGCCTTTCTGTGTAAACGGATCTTCATTGTAACTCCTGGTTTCTACTGTTCTGGTCATACACAACACATGGACAGGACTGGCTATATTCCAATAAAACTTTATTTACAATGGTGGGGAGTAGAGTGAATTTGTCCCTGTGGTCCGTTGGTTGTTGATCTGTCGCCAGAGTGTGGGCAGATTCTTAATATCCTCACAGCTCTCACTTCTTCCCAATCTTCTCCCACAAATGGCTATTCTCTTCCAAATTTGAAGTCACTGTTCTCCAAAACGCTTTCTGGTCTTCAGTTCTAAAACTCAACATCTTTTTCTTCTTTAGACATGTCTGTGTAGAAGACTGTCTCCATCTCCTCAGTTGCTGGGATGCCTTCTTCACAGCCTTGTTTTGTTTATCTTAGTAACTATCCTTCTTTAATCCTTCTGAAGGAATGGTTAGCTGGAATTCTCCTCCTCTTCCTCCCCCAGAGCCTTTGATCTGAAGCTCATAAGCATTTGTTGACAGCCAGACAGAAAAGGTGGAGCCCAGATCCCAGGCCCCAGGGGCCAGAGAGTAATGAATGAAGGCTGAGTTTATTTGTATTTCTAATTGGCAAGCTCATTTCCAAATCAGCTACGTGTCACTGCAAGTTGAGGACAAGAATAGGAGAAACTCTCATTTTCTTCCTGACCTCAGTACCCAATGTCTACTGAAGCAGGATCTTACCTTGATTTCACCAGGCTTGGTTGAAGCTGTTGTGTGCTCAAGCTCTGTTGCTTAGTATAGTACCCTCTTTTTTGGCACTCAGATTGTGCATTGCATATCTTTGGGGGCATCATTCACACAGTGAATAATACAAGTGTAACCTTCTGGACTATAGAGATTACTTTGCATCTTTAAGGTTTTTGTTATTGATACCATCTAGGCATCTTGGATTCTTCCTTTCAACCAAATAAAGAATTATGGGGCAAGAGAATTGGGAGCAAAGACAAAGTTTACTTGAAAGTAAGAGTAAGATGCCAAGGGAAAGTGAGGGAAAGCTTCTTAACCATTGGCACATTGGTATAAGCTCCCAAGCTGGACTCTCAATGTAGAAAGAGGCCTTATGCCATACGAGGTTTTATCACGGACTTCCTAAGCAAGGAAAAGGAAGAAGAGGAGAAGGAAAAGGGGCGGGGGAGAAGCAGGAGGAGGAAGAAGAAGAGAAGGAAGAAGAGAAGAAGGAAAAGAAGGGGGAAGGAGGAAAAGAAGAGGAGAAGGAGGAGGAGGAGGAGGAGGAGGAGGAGGAGGAGGAGGAGGAGGAGGAGGAGGAGGAGGATACAGACTTCTCTGTGTAAGAGAACAAGAAGTGGAGTCTGGGAATCGGTAGTCTGATGTAGACTCAGAAGGTTTCTCTTGCTCTTTCATCTGATTGGTTGGCTATCCCTCTTACTCCATGGGAAGGGACCCTGTTCCCTGAGCCAGTCTGCTCCAAGGTCATTAGGGGCTTTGCTTTCATCAGAGTCATTATCTTGTTTTCTCAGAATCTTGGAGAAGAGAAAGAGGTGTTATTTCCACAGGCTGTCCCCACCCCAAGTTCTTCAGGAATAAAAGAGGATACCACCTTCACCAGTTTGTGGTCTCTCCTGTCTTCCTAATTTTTCCTCTTTTGCCTTTTCCTCAATACTGCATGGAATCTTGCCTTTTTACAAAATGTTTTGTAGAAGGCCAATCTGTTAAAGAAATGAAAATGGAACTATTCTATTTGAAGCTGGGTTTGGAACCCAGAATACAGGTTCACCTTGCCCCATGTAAGAAGTTCCTGGGATGCTTCCAGGATTTCTAGAATACTAAGGAATTTGGGGATCTCTTAGTTATTAATTCTGGCTCTTGTCATTCCAGAGTTTGACAAGCTTCCTCTCTGACCAACAAAAGGATTAAATGACATGACTTCCAATCTTCAAAAATGTATAATATTGACCAGTGGCCTTTTTTTCCTCCCTTAAAGTCAATAATGTTAGAGAAGATATCAATGGGAAGGAAAAGTGTACTTCAGAGAAGATCTAAGAGGTAGAAATATTTATTCAGAAAAGAGGGGCCAGGGAAATGAGAAAAGACTTCCAAGGGAGTGTAAAATTGGGAGAGAAGATGGATGAACTGGAAAAACAATTGGAACACAAGAAGAGAAAGACAGGGCAACATACACAAAGACATAGAAATAGAAAATATTAATTGTGTAGCCCAAGAAAGACACCATAGAATGGAGCAGACATGAATTACTCCTTAGTGTCCACATGATGAAACAGGAAGTTTGAGCAAGGGACAGGTGTGTGTGTGTGTGTGTGTGTGTAGAATAAAGTAGGAGACACATCTCTGTTTCAGACAATCCTACCTTCTGTCTTGTTTACCATTTGTATCTGGTTACTAGGTGTTATTACCCTTATTTCACAGAGTTAATGACTATAGTATCTTAATTATTAAAAAGAACTTTGGTTTCCAAGGCTGGAGAGGTAATATCAAGCAGAACAGGGATTTAAATTGAAATTAGATTGACCCAAAGCTTATGCTGTATTGCTTCATGGAAAATATGGAACTGGAATAGAAGTTGAAAGAAAGATTAAGTTGACCGTAGACAAAGGGAATTCCTGGTTGGGGTATTTACCTCATGCAATCTGCTTGCAAAGTCATTTAGCCTCATCTAAACATTGTAAACATGTCAGAGCAGAGGGCCTACAGGAAGCTTGAGTAAAATTAGTATAAATGGAAGCACAAGAGATCACTAGGGTCCCTAAACCCTTAGGCCAATTGTCTTTCCAAAAACACCATGGATGACTGACTCTCTCTTTTGTCTTTTTTCCTTACCAGATTCCAGAGCCTTAGAACATTTTTTGTGGGTTCCAGAATCTTGGTCAATACTAATTTAGCTGTCCACCTTTGCTTGTTTTGTGCCTTTCCAGAGACCACAGAGCTGGGCAGCAAGAAAGAGCTCAAGTCCATGCCCTTCATCACCTACCTCTCAGGTCTGCTGACAGCCCAGATGCTATCAGATGACCAACTTATCTCAGGTGTGGAAATTCGCTGCGAGGAGAAAGGCCGCTGTCCCTCTACCTGCCACCTTTGCCGCCGGCCTGGCAAGGAGCAACTGAGCCCCACACCAGTGCTGCTGGAGATCAACCGTGTGATACCACTCTACACCCTCATCCAAGACAATGGCACCAAGGAGGTGAGCTTCCCTAGCCCCAAACTGACTGACCTTTGTTCTTCCTCCTTCACTTGTAGACTCTTTATCCTCCGCCATCATCATCATCAACAATAGCAATCATGGTGATCAATGGCATTTATTGATTCCTTGATATGTCCTGAAATACTTAGAGAGCTTAGTGACACTAGCTGCTATAACCATCAAATCCTCAAATCTCAATGTCTTAACGTGATTTATTGTTTGTGCAGAGTCCCCAGTGAATGTTTTTGGTTGATGGGCACAGGTAACGCATAGCTCCATTGGTGCTCTCATGACCTGTTTCTTCCATAGACACGGTGGAAAGAGAAAGAAGATATACTGTTGCAGGAAAATGTTTTAGACAGGCCAAGTAAGAAAGAGACCAATGTCACTTCAACTATGAGTCCACAGATTATAACTCAACCATGGTCTACCCCTGACTACAATGAAGACAGGCAAATATATTCTAACTGTGTGCCTAGAAGAGAAGTCATACGTTTGGTGAAAACCTTGCAGTTTCTGCTTCAGGTCTGCAGTTGTATTATCTCATCTCGTCTGCCTTCTAGATCTACAGTTTACCTAGGAATGTTGTGTGGATTTGTATGAAATTACTAATATTTTTCCGTTACTTATAAAAAGGGTATTTTTGTATGGCTCACTCTCGTGTCACACCCATGTAATAGCTGAGGAAACTTGAACAATGTTGAGTGATGTCCTCAAAGTCGGACTGCTTACATGCTTAATTACGAATTATCTTTCTTTTCTCTCTTCTGTGTCTACTGCATTTTAATGACAGCATGTCAGGGCTTGAAGGGATATTATGAATTATTCGGCTCATTGCTTTGCAAACTTCTGTTCATAGGACCCGTTAAAATGATTATCTGTACATAGTTGTACAAATGGGTTTCAATTGAACATGTCCGTTGATGTGTACACTGTACCTTGAGCAGTGTCACCCCTGTCATCCATTCTGCCTCCCCCTCTCATTTATTGCATCCCCACCCCGCTCTTCACGTTTCCTAGTTTCTATTTTCATTATATGTACTTTGGAGATTGTGATTGCATTCGCCCACCATTCCTCTTTCCATTCTTCCACCCCACTCTCCTCAGTAAAGACATGGTTTATACTCCTGGTGTTCATCTTGTTCAACCATCTGTTAATTGTTCAAAGGGGTTACACCATAGACAGCCCACCCTTGTGTATACCATACTTTAGTCACCTTATAGCCCTGTATGTGTTTTTATAGGTGTATATATTTTGGGTCTACCTTCCACATATATTCATATGAATATATGTGGAATATTACTATTTCAGTGAGAAAGAAGGAAATGGGTAATTACTTCTACTTGGTCTCTTCCTTCTGAGCTACTTCGCTACATCTTTTGAGCCTCCAAAAGATGCACACCACTGACCAAATGTGATAGAGCATGTCTTGCACTACTGGGTGCTAGAAGGTGTCAGGAGTCAGACAGGACTTCATGGCAAACAGTAATGGGTGTAAGGAAGTGAGCAAAGTGTTAGGTATATGATCTAAGGACCAAAGAATATGACTATAACTAAATATTCTGTATGACTAAGACCAAGAGATGAGAAGAGATTCAGATGAGACCAGAGGGGTCAGAAATTTCCTGATCATTTAGAATATTATGAGCCTTAGAGAATTTGAGTCCTATTATTAAAATAATGAGATACTGAATATACTCGATTGCCTGGAGATTGAAGAGATCACAGGATTACAGTAAATAAGTGTTGCAGAAGGACTTCTCTATAAACCACCCAACTTAGCACCAATGAGAGAGCAGTTAAATAAACTATTAGATCCTCATGCAGCAGAATATACTACAACAGCCCTAATTAATGATCCACGATGACACCAAGTGGGGAATGAATGAACATAACATTAAGTGAAGGAAATAGTTTATAGAGGATACCACATTATATAGCACATTATCCTTTCTCCATTAATTTTTTTCCCTGACAGTATTGTTGTTTGAACTTAGGGCTTTATGCCTGCTAGGCAGGTGCTCTACCATTTGAGCCCTGCCTGCAGCCCTTCTTGCTTTGGTTATTTTTGAAATAGGGTCTTGAATTTTGTTCAGGCTGTCATAGACATTGAACTTCCTATTTATAGTCACCATTGAAGCTAGGATGTGTTAGACACATGTTACCATGCCCAGGATTTTTCTGTTGAGATGGGGTCTAAGGAACTTTTGCATACAGTTGGGCCTGGAACTACAATACTCTATCTCCCCATTAAGATTCCTTCTATTTCCTCTTTTTTTAGTTATAGTACATGCAGACATATAGACATAAACATACCTCAAATGCCCTATTATGAATAAATATAGTCATAATAAGACCTTATACAGAAAGGAAGCAAGAAATGATAAACATAGGAAATGATGGTAATCTTCAATTGGGAAGACACTGTAACAACGTGTAGGTAGTCAGGTTCCAAGTTGGTAGGCTTTTTGTTTGTTTGTTTGTTTTTGTTTCTTTTTGTACCAGTCCTGGGGCTTGAACTGTCCCTGAGCTTTTGTGCTCAAGGCAAGTGCTCTACCACTTGGAACCACAGCTCCATCTCTAGCTTTCTGATAGTTGATTTTGATAGTTAAGAGTCTCAGGGGACTTTCTTGCCTAGCCTGGCTTTGACCTGCAATCCTCAGATCTCAACCTCCTGAGTAGCTAGGATTACAGGCATGAGCTACCAGCACCTGGCCTGAGTGGTAGTTTTAGTAGTAGATTTGTCCGAGTTCTGTTGCAGTGATGTGCCCTGGTATATCAGAGAATACCAAGTATGAATGTAGTCACTAGATGTCACTGTTCTCCTTGCAAGAGACCCAGAGAACTAGATTATCAGTCATCTTTTCATTCATGTTATATTTTTCTTTTTTCTTTTCTTTCTTTCTTTCTTTTTTTTTTTGCTGGTCCTGGAGTTTGAACTCAGGACCTGGGCACTGTCCCTGAGCCTCTCTGTGCTCAAGTCTAGCACTCTACCACGTTTGGCTTTTTCTGAGTAGTTTATTGGAGATAAGAGTCTCAGACTTTCCTGCTTGGGCTGGCTTTGAACAGTAATCTTCAGATCTCGGCCACCTGAGTAGCTAGGATTACAGGCAGCTTAACTTTTTTTTTGAGTACCTAGTCTGTTCCAAATACTGTGTTGCACCTTGAGAAATGAGCATTAGGAAAAATGGAAGTGTGTGTGTATGTGTGTGAGTGAGTGTGTGTGTGTGTGTTTGTGTGTGTGTGTGTCTGTGTGTGCGCGCCTGTGCATGGGCATGAGCATGAACACGATACCAGAGATCCAAGCCTCACAAATGATAGGCATACAATTCTACCACTGAGCTACAGGCCTGTACTCCTACATGGTCTTTATCTTCATGGACTTCAAAGACTTATGGAGAAAAGAACTATTCACAAAATGACCACACAAAGTAAAGTCAGACTGTGAAAACCACTAATGACAAGCCTAGGGTTGTGGGGTCAGAGGCGGCTTCCCTGAGGAAATGACATTTAAACTAAGTCCTTGGGGCCAGCTGCATAAAGTGAATGTGAAGGATTTGGAGAAGGAAAAGGAGCAGCAGTCCAGGGGAAAGATCCAGCTCCTGCAAAAATCTGAAGACTGAGCAGACACGACTCATTAGAAGAGCTGAATAAGAACCAATGGCTGAACCAGGGCTAGATAGTGCTGTGGAGAAGTCAGGCAAAGCCAAGGTAGCAATGCTGTGGGTGGGGGGAGTTTAGCCCTAGAATAGTGGTAAATCTTGCAGAGACACAGACATGGGTGCTAACCTTTTCTTTCCATGTTTTTCCTAGTTGTTCCTGCAAAGAAATGTTAGAACTGTCAGACTGTGAAAGGCTTCTTCTAAGTCTCTAGTCCTGAACCAAATGACAGTGTAGAATCTGGGATGCAAATTAGATAACTTTAAGGGAGATGGATTGTAGTGGGATTGTGTGAGAGAAGTCCACTCCAGGTCTAGAAATCGTACTTGAAGACAGGAATATGGCTAGCAAAGCTTTTGTGATGCTAATGCAGGTAGTCTATTATTTTGTCTTCCTATTTTTTTTTTTTGTGCCAATCCTGGGGCTTGAACTCAGGGCCTGGTTTAGCTATCCCAGAGCTATGTTGCTAAAGGCTAGTGCTTGATCACTTGAGCCATGACTCTACTTCTGGCTTTTTTTTTCTTTTTAGTAGTTTATTGGAGATAAGCGTGTCATGGACTTCCCTAACTGGGTTGGCTTCAAACCATAATTCCCAGATCTCAGCCCCCTGAGTAGCTAGGATTACAGATATAAGCCCCTAGCACCGGGCATCTGTCACTTTCTTTTCCATCATTGCCTTAAACTTTTGGCATCCCTTCTATCATAGCTTGTAGTCTCTCCACTCTGTCTGTGTGCTGAAGAATGTGGCCATGGATAAAACACTGGAGTTAAAGATCTAGTGTTTGACACTACATTTTGTACTCGAGTTTTAGGCCAATCCTGTCCCATTTCATGGCCCTTATTTTCCAAGTTGAAAAATCAGATAGATAAAGTCCATTTTGTTACCTGAGTTTTCAACAAGAACTTTTGACTTCATAGAAGCAGAGAGTGGAGGATCTGTACTACCCTGTCTTGGGTTGGAATCCTAGCTCAATCCTCTATTCATTATGCAGCACTGAGTCTGTAGCCCTCTGTTTCTACATCTATGAAATGTGTTCTCATGGCCCCAATTGCTATGGAAATCTAATGAGGTAGGAATGCATAGTGCCAACAAGTTAGCAGACACATATCTCTGACATGTATAAAATAATATTTGTCAAAATACCCTTTCCTTTTCCTCTACTTCCTTTGATTTCTCCCAGGTAGTACTTGCTAATTTTGTGGATGTCCAGAGTACATGATATTGTAGAACAGAATTTACATTTTGCATGGGAGAGGCTATTAGTTGACCCCAAAAGAGAAGATTGCAAATGGAAAGATCTTAGAGAATTTCCTGACTTGCTAAACAGTATTGGAACGC